TGCTCAGATGTAGGCATACCCACCCCGGCTCCAGCAGCCCAAGGAAAAGATGAAGGCAGGTTTTTCCCTGTGGAACTAGGACACAGCCCAAGCTTGCTCAGCAGAGGGAGCCAGGGCTGCGGGACCTGTCTCCTGACAACACTAGTGCCAGGTCATCTTCCTAACATAACATATTTTGCTCCAAGGCAAGAAGCCTCCAGTGCAGCACTTGACTCCATGACACTGGAAGAAGGGCTCCTTGACACAGGATCATTGCACAGATAAGGGATCTGCTTCTAGGAGAGAGGTTAGGAAGACTGATTTGCACACCTGCCAGTCTACCAGCTCACACCCTGCAGCACACCTCTGTGTGCTTTTCTATTCAGTGTCCACAAAGGCAGACTGATTGGGGCCCACCCCCTTCCCTCTTGCATAGCCAAATGCTTCAGCGTTTCTTAGGATGCACTTCCCAAGTTCATCACCCCATGACTGTTAGTCCAGGACATGAAATACACATTTCCAGTGTGATACAGGATTTTCAGAGTCCCATCTCACGCTGATCTGTGCCCGAATTTAAGGAAATTTAACACCTTCCCGGGGCACCCAAGGGTCTGTGCAAGGAACCTCATGGTTCTCTATACCGTTCCTCTTGGATGGTACTTCAGAAGAAGTCAAAGTTTGTCATTCCAATCAGTTTTACTCCAAGATCCCAGAGCCTTCATATTTTAGTCCTAGATTAGTCATGTGGTCTACTGGTGGTTTAATAAGAAGTCCATCTCTCTCCTCAAGCCAATGGCAGAGCAAAAGGTTAGTGCTTCAACCCCAAGAGATAAAGCAAATAAGCAGGCAAGTGCTGTTGTTCCACCTTGTATTGCCACTGACTTAAAGTTTAAGGAGGGCAGGTGCTCAGCTGCCCAGCACTACATACACTGTATATATACAGAGAGACTACAGGTATGCTAATCCAAGGGGTAGTAACAGCCAGGTTGTCTTCAGGGAGAGAGAGTGTGGGAGGCCGGTTGCCATTTCCTTCTGTTAGTTGTTCTTCTTATCCTCAGGAGGTGCATAAGGAGGTGGCTGATCCTGGAAGGAGATACCACAGAGTCAACAATCCTGCTTGTTTTATGATGAGCTCTTACCAGGGCGTTCCTGGGCTTGGCTTACAATGACTGCCCTTCAGTGAGCTACAGACAGAGCCAGATGCTGTGCTCTAAGCTGTCATTTCATCACACCACTCCTCTCTAGTATCAGTTATGCTCCAGGATATATGCTGCCTTCCATAACATTTCTAGTGAGAGTTCCCTCAAAACCAGATAACAAATGGTTATTTAATCTGTTTTAATCATCATCCTCCCTTCACTTCCAGGGCTTTGTCTCTGTTGATGTTCAGAGCTCTGACCCAGCAGACAGCAAGCCCCTGGGCTGAGGGCCAGCTCTGCTGCTCCATCAGTCTCCAGCCCACCACAGAGCCACGTGAGGCAGAGAAGGGCACGGGCAGACTGGCTGTCAGGTACCAGGTGTAGGCTACAGCCTACCTACCAGCTGCCACTGACTGAACAGTAAGAGACTTCCCCATCTCAAAAAAATGAAAGAGAAACTCACACACTCTCATCCTTAAGCAACCTGCCTTTCTTTAACTCTCCCTACTTTCAGGCCCAACAGAAGCAGAGAGATCTGTGTGTTCTCTGTGCCCATGCAAATTTGTTGTGCCTTTGAGAGTAAGACAAGTACTGGACGAATCTTGAGGCCCTCCTCCTTTCCTGATTGAGGATTTAACAAGCCTTCTTCATGGCACCAACGTACACAGCTCTTTCCCAGGAAAACGCATGCATGTTCTGTGCATGTTCCATGTGAAGGCAAGCCAGACTTTGCTAGGAAAGCAAACCGCTGTCTCTGCCAGCGACAGAAGAGGGAACAGGCACAGGCCCACCACAGGTGCAGTACTCACCATGGGCATGTACACATTGTGTGGGTTGGCAGGGTTGTAATATGCACTGGAAGCGGCTTCCATGGCCTTACTGCCCCCTAGAAAGGAAAGAAAAGGAGCCATCCTACATGCCTTAGCCAGCGATCCAAGACCCAGAGCCTTCTCCGCAGCCATAGCTCTTTTGAGGAGCCAACAGCAACTGCAGCAAGCTGGGTTTGAATTCAGAGCATTCAGGAAGACTACAAGCTGCCTAGAGCTGACCACGAGCTGTGCAGTGCAGAGCTGAGAAGCTCCCTCCACACTCTGTTACCGCAAATAGTAGATCAAGATGACTTTGAGCTCCTGCAACAGCAGCTTCCCCATCCCATGCTGTGCCCACAATGCCACCCACAGCCCAAGCACCCTTTTGCACTCAGACCCTGGCAGCCCCCCAGACCCATTACCTGGTGTCCCTGGGCCCACCCAGGCCAGGGGAGCTGAGGGGGCTGAGGGTCCTGCAGGGGATGGTCCAGAGTAGGGAGGAGGAGGTGGCACATACATGGAGCTCATGTTTGGAAGTGGTGGGTAAATACCTGAAAAAGATGATATTGGATTGATGTTTTAGACCATGCCAATGAGACAGAGGGGAAGACTGTTCACAGGTCCAGCAGGACATTAGCCCTGGACAAGAGCAGCAGTGAGAGAAGCTCTGTAGGTTTGGTAGGGATGCAGACAGCAGGGATTAGACATTTTGCTAATGCCCATCACGCCAGCAGGCGACAATTCTCTGCCAAACAGTAACACAATTTACACAGCACATTTTTACCTCCCATCTAGCTGCAACAAGAGACACACAGGTGTGATCAATAGCATGTGACAGATTTCTGCAAGCATAAGGATCCTTAATGAAAACAAAACTACAGTAAGCCTCACACCGTATCACTGTGATTTCTTTACAGCTAACACCAAACACTCGCTGCCAGTCATCACCACACAACTTCCAAACCTGGAGTCTGGGCGTATGGATATCCCATGGGCTGTGGAGCAGGTCCATAGGCATTCATCGGAGGTGGTACATAAGGATACGGTCCGTTTGGTGGCGGAGGGGCAGCATAGCCCCCCGGCGCGGGCGAATACTCCCCTGGAGCAGGCGGGGCGGGTGGGTACCCTCCGGGCACAGGTGTATAGCCGTAGCCAGGGTTCTGGAGAGGAACGCCGCTGGAAGCTAAGGAGCACACACACCCCGAGTTAGCCAGACATCCTTTTGTTAAAGCCAAACATCCAGAATAAAAGGAAAGTAGCCCTGTTCACGCAGCACCATTTCCCATCATCTAAATTCACTACACAGTCCTGGCAAAGTGGTGTGCTTGAAAAGCATCAGCCTCCTCGCTGCAAGTTCACAGGGTGCTAAAGGAAACCAGCTGCAAAAATACCAGCTATCTGGTACCAGTTCAATCACAGAGCTCCTGCTGCTGGAAAAAAAAACTGTTCTAAAGCAAATTAAGAACAAAAAAAGTTCTTAAACACTTCCTCCCTGAAAGTGTTTAATGCCAGATTGGATGAGGCTTTGAGCAACCTGGTCTAGTGGAAGGTGTCCCTGCTTATTGCAGGGGGGTTGGAACTGGATGATCTTTAAGGTCCCTTCCAACCCAAACCATTCTATGATTCTATTCAAATATCAGCAGTGTTTTTATCTTCCTTTCTAAACTTTCATATCAGAAAAAAAAATGTACATTTTTCCCCTGTTTGAAAGTTTTAAATAGAAGTTATTATTTTAAACTTATTCCCCCCTCGCCCCCTCCAGATATGGACATGTTAACTTCCACCATCACATATTTCATCTTTATTCCAGGAGGAATAAGATTCTGCAGAAAAAGGTGGTCCACATCAGAAGCAGAAACTCCAGAATATCCTGCTTGCACAAAGTGGTACAATGAAACAAAAGAAAAAGGACAGGAAGGAAAAACAAAAGTTCCCCTGGGAAAAAAACCCACAACACTGGTGTGGAAGCCTGCAGAGTACCCCTCCTCTCCCATCCCATGAAGTTCAAAAAGAGCACTATTCTCTAACTAGCTCAGCCAGTCATGGGGGAACTGCAGGCTCTGGAGATCCCTTACCATTAGAGGCAGCTTTGAACATCAACTGTCCAAACTCAATGGCTCCTCCGCTGTTGAAAGTCAGTTTAAATGTACCCTGCCCTTCCCAGCCACCTGAGAGAGAGAGAATTAGAATTGAAACAGACTATTAACCTCCTCAGTAGCAGTCAAGCCAACAAAAACCAGTTGATACTCCCAATTATTTTTTTCGCCATTTCAAAACTATTTTGTGTGATATCACCAGGGGGAAAGAATCACGGCACTGCTATCAGATGTCCTCCAAGACAGTATCTCGAGAAGATCAGGAATTTATTTCTTTCCCCTTTAAAAGATGATGCCCATTATAGTTGGGCAGAAGCAGCCTGCTCTAGATATTACAACGTTTCCTGAAAGGTTTAATAGAACCCAATAATGAACACAGTGTAAAGAAAGGACACTTAATTCACTGAGGATTTTAATCGAAAGCCCTCAAGTGAAGTTTTACTGCTGACCTCAGTGGACTGCAGATCAGGATCTGCAACTCAAGCTAGGATTTAAATCAAATGCAACATTTCTAATCTCTTTGACCCAGAGAAACTCAGACAGATTATAAATGCTTAGGTATAAGAGCGCTTTCTCAGAAAAAAAGCAAGTAGGTGATGACATTGCAGGATAAGAATGCTTTGTTTTGGTGTTGTGTTTGGGGTTCTTGGGGAGGGTTGGTTTTGGTTTGGGGGATTTTTTTTTTTTCTAGAAAAAAAGATGTGTTTTAAATAAAAGATTTAATAAAATACGATTTATCTTCCTTGTCCGACTAATAATAAAGTCAGCAGAAGTAGAGAAAGCCTCTTGGGGATAAAGTAGAAATAAAGGACAGAAATGTAACAAAAACATGAAAAAAGTCATCCCCTTGGAGGGTCACCTCTTCAAAATCACTGTCTTAGTATGATTTCAGCACAAGCACATGGGCTGATCCACAGTCCAGAGGACACAGCCACTTTAAGACATTGTTACGAACAGAAAGTAAAAGCATAAGCTCTCCAGATGCCATCAAAATGCACATAAACTAGTTTTAGGGCTGAAGAGGGAAGAAATTTGAACCAGAAGCCTTGTTTTTAATCCCTGTTTACCTTCTGCAATTCCTTATTTGGTCACAGCCATGACTAAGTCTTATCACAATTTCATCATCAAATTGGGAGCAAAGCTAAACCAGTGACATACAGCAGCATCCTAGATGCACACAAATGTACCCAATCTGGTAAGTGACTAACGACCTTAAGAAAACAGAAGTGCTTGCTAATTCTGTCTATCAATACCAATGACTGGTGACTTGGTCACCTACACACCCTTCCAGGTCAAAGACAGGAAAACAAGCACATGCAGAAACCAAGTAAATGTGACATGCACAGCAAGAGAGAAGTTACAGGATTAAACAAAAGCCATCCTGTGAAAGTCAGTTATTAGCTTTGGGGGCAGGAAGCAACGCTGAAGCAGTGCCTTGAAGTTCAGAAGACACAGGTTACCTGAGCACGGACATGCCAGCTATACTGCTGTAGCTACTCCATCTGTCTTTTCTGCGCACACAAGCCATCTCTCTGATGCTCAGCAGAAGATAAAAGGACTTGTGACACTTTGGAAGAGTTCAGCCTATAAAGAAAGCACAGGCACATACCTCCTGCCTCAGCCTGAATCTGTCCTTTGATGTAATTGGCAGAGAAAACAGGCTGCTCAATCGAGCATCCTTTCACCAAATAAAACGGCATCATGAAAGACAGCATAGGATCCTTGCCCTTCGACACAAAGATCATCTGCAAGACAGGAGGGAACGCCTCTGAAATATGTGAATTAGATACAAAGGGTGCTCATGGAGTTCTAGTTCCAGCAGCATCCAAAAAGAGGATAACTGGACTCCTAGTATCAGTATGCATCGTGTTATTTCACAGCTTTAATAGTGCAGGATCCCAAACAGATTTGGTGGCACACGGCTCAGCTGACTGAAGCCATGTACGTTGCAAAATAATATACTGCTTAAAACAGACATGCCCATTTGCACAGCTTTACTGTTCTGCTTTTTAAGGATAAGCTGTGACAGTTTTCAAAGAAAGTACTATTGACTGACACATTATATGAAACACATTCTCTAGACAGTGACTTTCAGGACTGCACATGCCTTTGTAGGGAACTGGAATTGTGACACAGGCACGAACTATCCTATTTCTACCTTCCCTTCTCCTACCTAGCACTCTCAGTGGTTCTTCCCATAACAAAAATCACTTCTTCTATCACCAGCTAGGTTTCTGGTCTAAAGTCTACAAGATCCTTTAAGGAGAAGAAGTCCTGCTGGCATCAGACTTACCCTATACGGGGTGAGATACAGCATCCCTTTCTTGGTGCCTTTGAAGGCTTCAGGCTTGCCCGTCACGTCACTGAAGGAGAGCTCCACATCTTTACACTGTTTGAGAACACTATAGGAGGAAATCAGACAAATTGGAGAGACAAACTCAGCAACAGCCCTGACAGACACACCCCACACAGCACACCAGAAACTCTGAATACTGTCCTAAAAGGCCCAGCTCTGATGTGGGCCCAGCTGGTTTTCCTTTGGACGGAGAGGGATGATTTATGCAGAGCAGAATAATTCATCCTCTCACCTGTCACAGCCCCTGCTCCTCCTCCACGAAGGGAAGCTTTAGATGACAGCTTCTCTTTCTGTCTCCAAAACCATCAGTCTGAGGAACTGCTTTCTCTGCATGAGAAGAGCCTCAGCCCAAAGGTCAGGGCACAGGAAGGATTGAGGTGTCTGAAACCACCCCCTTGGAGCCCAGGTACTGACTCAGAGCAAGCCTCTCTCCCCAGGACTGTGCTCAAATCCAGGACTGGCCACCGCATGGGAAACCAGCATTGCTGCAATACCTCCCCCACCGTGCAAACCGAGGAAGATGCTTCACCAATACCCTCACTGCTGACTCGGCTTCACATGAGGTAAGTAAATATTTGTAATAAACAGTGCCATACTAAGGAACAAAACAAGGAGCCAGCAGTGTCAGCAATAAGGTTATTATTGTTGGAGATCTACAGGAACATTGGCGAAGTGTGCCAATAACAGAAAGCCAGATGAGAACTGTGAACACTGCAGGGTCAGGGGTATGGAGGGGCCTGAGAAACTAAATATATTTTCAGGAAAATTGAAAGAGTCAACTGAGAAAGCATGTCACTGAATCTACAGGGCAGACCCTAAACATACCACCTAGTAAGAAAATTTGCAGAATAAAAAACAAAAGAGCCTTAGGGGTGACAAGCTTGGAGCATGTTACAGTGGCAGAAGAATCTGAGATGTTTTATGGTTCACAAGCATGGAAAGAGAAAACACAAAACCCTAACCTACCACAAGCCTGAAGAGGCCAGATCTATAGTAATCTTTGTGTATTCTGATCAGCATACTGTAAAAATCACATCAAGCCAGGAAACTGCAAAAAATATTGGGGGAAGGGAGGAATCAGCAGGGCTATCACATGGGAAAACAACCAAAAGCCTTGTAGTTTCAGGTCATGTGCTCTTTAGGGAAGATAAAAACATAATAGTATAGATGTATCTGAAAAATGCAGCTATCCAAGGAGAAAGACATGAAAAAAATCCAGCTTTAATGAGAAACAAAACAATCTGACCAAGAAATTCTGCTGGGACATATAGCTGAGCTAAATGTAGATTCTCAGACTGGCTGGGAGGAACAGACTGACAAGGCAGTAGAGCTCTTTCCATTTCCAAGATGCAAAGGGGAAACATTTCTTCTAAGCTAAATAAAACCAACTCCCTGGCAGCTTGGACCTTACCACAACACATCCTCAACCAGGTCCTCTAGCAGCATTTCATGCCAGTTTGCCTCATTGGGAAGAATTTCTACATAGTCACTGTAATGTTTACTCCTTCCCAGCTACTCACGCAAGCAAATAACATGCAGCCACCACCACTGGGCATAATTAGGCTCCTGAACTGGTCTGCACCTGCATGCCTGTCTAGGGCTGTCACGGGAGGGCTGTCACGGGAGGGCCGTGCACCCCACAGAGCTGCGCTGCACCCTGAAGAATGGCTTGAGGTCAAGGACTGAGAGATGTCCTTTAAACTTGCAAAAGCTCTACATGTCAAAGGACTTCCCTGACTGAAACTCAACATTATTTGGAGTATATTTTTGGAGCATATTTTTGCTATTGTTTACCAGCCCCAAACCAGCCTGATGATCCTTTACTGGGCCTCTGGTTTCTAGGATCTCTCTAGCCAAGGCATGGATGCTGGGAGCACTCGAACACAACCAAAGCAAAGCCCAAGCCCGTCAAGCTGGTCTGTCACTCCCCACTCGGGGGAGGGCAGGCATCGAGCAGCTGGCTCCTCACGAAGCTGGCTG